TTTAATAACGGCACTAATTTTACCCTCTTTAATAACGGCACTAATTTTACTCTCTTTAATAACGGCACTAATTTTACCCTCTTTAATAACCTCTTCTTCTTCGAGGCCTACTTATACGCCCTTTTCGCCACCTCCTAATAATTCTATAATTAAACACAGCGATTAAGAGGAATCTAAAGATACTAGCGGTTCTTCCTCTAGATCTTCCTCCACCTTAGAGGAGGCTATAAATAAGGCTATCGATAATACTATCGGAATAGGATTATTATCGCCTGACTAATCCGTTCTTAAAGAGGCTACTACCACTACTACTACTCCTTAATCTACTCTATAAGTAGCTAAGTCTAATACCACTACTACTACTATTATTCCTGCTTTACGGCTAACCTCCTGTTTTGCCTACTTTAGCTTTAACGCCTGCCCCTATAGGGCGGCCTACTTATAATCCCCGACCTCCTTCTAAATACGACGATTACGTCTTTTACTATACTTTCGAGAAGCCGAAAAAGCCGCTATTACGCCGCGAGATACCTAAGGAACCGTTAAATTAGTCTTAGATACTAAAAAGGCCCTATAAGCTATAATAGCTTAGGGTAGCCGTATAAGAGGTGGACACACTTAGGTTAATAGACACCTTTAAAGTAGTAGAGCTGGCTTAGGGTGGGTAACGTGCCTTAGACCTTAAATAGGTCTTTAAGTATAAGGTTAACCTATCGGGGTATATTAGTAAGTTTAAGGTGAGGTTATACGTGTAAGGCGATTAATAGCCTAAAAACCACCTTAACGCCTACGCCTCTACCTCGCCGGCAGGACCTTTAGGTCGTTAATAGCTATTACTACCTATTTTAACCTAGAGACTCGTTAACTTAATACCGTTAATGCCTTTATTAACGCTACCCTTAATAAAGAGATTTACGTTAAGGATCCACCCGGGTAGCCGCTGCTTTAATTAATAAAAGGTATATCTAATAATAACCTTAAGGCTCTTTTAAAGCTATCGAGACTACCCTTACACGGTATATAACGCCTACGCAGGGCGTTATATAGCCTATATCGCTCCGCTAAGCTATAGTATAAATAGCTCTCCTTCGTTGTAGGTAAGTATAACCTAAAGTAACTAACTAAAGACGATTACGTCTTTAAAAGTAAGGAACTAATCGTCTTCTTCTACGTGGACGATATTATTCTAATCTAGAAGAAGGAATATTAATCTACTACTAATTCTCTTATATAACAGATATAATAGCATTTCTAAGTAAGGGACCTCGGCCTACTTAAGTGGTTCCTAGGGATTAGAGTAGTTCGCGATCGTTAATAACGTTAGCTTTAGCTTTCCCTTGAGAACTATATCACCGAAAAGATTAAGGCGTTATAGGTGGATTATAGTAGGCGTAAGGTTAAAAGCCCTCTGCCTTTTCCTAACGTTTTAGAACTATCTACTACCGACTAATAAGCCTTTATAGAATTAATCCACCTATATCTATAGAAGGTCGGTTCTATTAATTACGCCGCTTATTAGACCCGGCCTAATGTATCTAAGGCCGTTTCGAGGCTTGCCGAATTTAATACTAACCTGTTAAAATAGTATCACGATACCGTAGATAGATATTTAAAGTACCTCGCCTCTACTAAATCCCTATACCTCTACTTTAGACCACGTAATAACTACCTATAGCACGCACTTTACTATACTTCTAACACGGCCTTTAGCGATAACCGTAAGACTCGGTATAGCTCCTAAGGCTATACTATATTATTATTTAGTAGCCCTATAGAGTAGAAGCTAAATAAGTAAATAAGCGTCGTGACCTCTAGTACTAAAGCCGAGCTTATAGCACTTTCTGCTACTACTAGGCAGTATATCGCGATTAGGCGTTTAATTAAGGACCTAACCTTAACCTTTAAAAATAAGCCTCTAATAATATACTACGATAACGACTAAATAAAGATCCTATTAAAGGCTCTACGCCCTTAGGTTATATCTAGATTAAAGCACTTAGATATCTACGCCCTTTAGATCCGATAGATTATTTAATAGAAGAAGGTCCTAATCGCCTGGATCTTAACCTAAGAGATAGTTAGCGATAGGCTAACTAAGGTACTTCCCCCGCAGAAATATAAGGCGTTTATATATCTATTAGGGATAGAGGTCCTAAGCCAGGGGGCTTAAGGTAATTTATAAAAGGCGCGGTGCTGAGTTTAAAATCTATAGCCTAGATTAACTATTATTTTAGTGCCCTTTAGATTACTATTTAGGCACCCGTTTTTAACGTTTTAACGTGGTTTTAGGGTTAATTTAACCACCTGTTTTTACACGTTATTAACGTTTTTAGGCATTAAAAGAGCGCGCTTTTTAATAAGCCGTTTAACCGTTAGATTAATATCTAGGCTCTATTTTACCCTAGATTTACGGCTTTAATTAAGCAGAATAGTCAGGATTAATCCTATAGTTCTAGGGGGGTGTGTTAGATACCACCACACACTTATCGGGGTGTGACTTACGCTATTTATATACTCGGATAGAGTACTTCCGACCGATGTATCCATATCGATTTCCCCTCCTTTTACCTTATAGTTAGACATTTCCGCAGAGTGTCTTTTACTCTTCTTAAAATGCACACACACATCTTTTGCGTACCTTATTTGTGTGCTGACACCATCCGAGTACATACATGGCGCAAGTCACACCCCGATAAGTGTGTGGTGGCATCTGACAACTCTATAGCTAGTAGTAGTTTGTTTAGCTGACTTTTAGAGGTGACTCGTACTGTTTCTTTGGATATGTTTGTGTATATTGAGAACCCTAGAATTTCGGGTCGTGGAGATATAGTGCATTATCTATCCAGAAAGGGTTTAAGAAGACCCGGAAGGCCGAATAGGGAGTGGCGGATGTCTTCTGCTGTCAGTATATAAATAAGGTACGCAAAAAGATATATATATATATTAAAGAAGAGTAAAAAGTACTCTGCGGGAATATCTAACTATAAGGTAAAAGGAGGGGAAATCGATATAGATATATCGGTCGGAAGTACCCTATCCGTGTATAAAATAACGTCAGTTATACCTTGATAAGGTGGCTGTGGGTATCTAACACACCCCCCTAGAACTATAGGATTAATCCTGACTATTCTGCTTGAATTAAAGCCGTAAGCTAAGAATATCGGTATAAAACCTATTATTCTTATGCCTTAGAGAGTTCTAAAAGTACTCCGAGGAAATATCTATCTACCTTAATTAGTACTATAAAAGGGGCTGAGTAACACACGTGATATATACCCTAAAAACCTTACCCGGGCGTATTACTATATACCCCGGTACCCCGCCTGTTTCCTCTAATACCCTCCTAGAACTATAGGAGTACTTACCTGCTTACTATTCTAATCTAAACTAAAAAACGATTCTAGTCTTCTCCTCGTAGCTCTATTTTAATAATAGCAGTATCTTTATAGTAGGGAGACCTATATAGGAGTATTACACGGGTAATCGTTATATATAACGGCGGTAGTATAGACTAGTTACTTTCGTAGACTCTTAAAGTAATAGTCGTGATAGTTTTCGTTAGGTCTATTAATTATGCTTTTAATCGATAATCGTTTTCGTCAGGTCTATTAACTACTCTCTTAATCGTGATAGTTTTCGCTAGGTCTATTAACTAGTTCTTTTAATCGTGATGGGTTTTATTAGGTCTATTAACTGATTCTTTTCTTTATAAGGTTTTCGAGAGATCCAGGAACTCTTCGGTAATAGTTTTTATCAGGTCCATTAACTACTCTCTTAAATAGTTCGTGATGGTTTTTACCAGGTCCATTAACTACTCTTAGTCGTGATAGTTTTCGTTATATATCCATTAACTATACTCTTAATTATAATGGTTTTCGTCAGGTCTATCAACTACTATAGTAAGGGTAACCTTCTATCAACTACTATAGTAAGGGTAACCTTAATCAATAATGGTTTTCGTTAGGTCTATTAACTAGTCTCTTAATCGTGATGGTTTTCGTCAGGTCTATTAACTGCTAGTCTAACCTCTATCTTTAAGTAAATAGTTTGGAGGTCTTTTAGGTATAGGAGGCGGACGTAGCTAATAATACTAAGCTAACTGCTATAGACTTAAGGCTATTTTAACCGCCTTAAAGCTATAGGATCTATCGGAATAGCTTCGTTTATTAGAACGCCGGGCTTATAACTGTCAGCACACAAATAAGGTACGCATAAAGATATATATATGCATTAAAGAAGAGTAAAAAGTACTCTGCGGGAATGTCTAACTATAAGAGGTGAAATCGATATGAATACATCGGTCGGAAGTGCCCCATCCGTGTACAAAATGGCGCAAGTCACACCCCCATAAGGTGGCTGTGGGTATCTGACATCTGCCGTGTAAGACGTTCCACCCAAGGCTTCCATTGACCTAGCCATGGTTGAATGCTTGGCTCTTGCTCGTACAAAGAACGACCTGCACTGAACTGCCTTGGCCCATGTTTCAAAAGATGGGCGAGCCAGGTATGCTTCGTCGTTTACAGCTGCGAGGCCTGTTTACTTTGCTTCTCATCTTCACGCAACTGAGACCCTCTCATGGGACCACATCTGCGGTCTTAGAGAACAGAACAGCGCCTATGGCCACGGACTTTTGCCCGGCTACGAGAATCAACCATATTTTGCACAGCCTTTCAGAGCGATGCCTCAAAAGCAGCTGGTCCGTGACAGACTCAAGCTGGACAACGCCATCCTCCCAGGGGTCAGCTTCATATACAGACCAAAATGGTCGAGCTGTCTCCATCGAAGTGGTTAGAGATGAAGAGTTCGCCACGGAGACATTCTTGTCGTTCGAAGACTGGAAGAACTTGAGGGCTCGGGAAGCCGTCCGGGACATCATGGGCGAACAATATGAAGGTCCCTCTGAAAGCACAGACGTCTCCTCACAGGACAGCGGCACTGCGCGACAGGTTGAACCAGTCTCCGAGCAAGCCAGCAGCCTCACGGCTATTGCAAACCAGGGGTCTGCTGACCAGCGCGACCACGACCAACAAGACGAACCCGTGCTATATGATGACGGTAAAGGGCAGTACCACCGCCCCAAGGACGCCGGAAAGACATGCAAAGAAAGATTCTCTTACTCATCGTTCGACGCCGGGGCGACCGTCCTGAAGACCAGCGACGGTGCGAAAAATGCCAAGGCGATCTTGGTTGAGAATAAGGACTCGTACATGTTATTGGAATGTGCCGCTGAGAACAAATTTGTCATCGTTGAACTCACAGACGATATCCTCGTCGACACTGTGGTAATTGCCAATTTCGAGTTTTTCTCTAGCATGATCAGGCAATTCAGAGTAAGCGTGAGTGACCGGTACCCGGTAAAAATGGACAAGTGGAAAGACTTGGGTGTCTTCGAGGCGAAAAACTCCAGGGACATCCAATCGTTTCTGGTGCCTAACCCATTAATTTGGGCAAAATATGTCCGCATCGAATTTCTTAGCCACTACGGCAATGAGTATTACTGTCCAGTGTCCCTCTTGCGGATTCATGGTACGCGAATGCTCGAATCTTGGAAAGAAACAGAGGCGGGTTCCGAGGACGACGAAGCTGTGGAGGCGAACGTTTCGCCGAGTGAAGAGACCAGCACACCCGCCCGGGCGGGTTATAATACTCTCATTCAAGAGGAGGATACGGAACGGGCGCAGCCGTCTTCTGCTCATTCAAATCATGATGCACACAGTCCCATGGCGTCGGGAGACTCGTCACAGGCCAACAGGTGCTTCTCCGTGGCCCCCAAGGAGCCCACTTGCGGTCTTCTCGAAAGCGGTTTGAGCGTTTTCGTTGATAGCACTCTGTCGGGGACATCTGTCCTAGAGTCGCAACAACAGTATCGCAGAGCAAACTGCTACGCGCGTGATGACGAAGCGCTGCGCGAGCAACCCCAACCGCCAACAGCTACCCAAACATCACTACCATCATCGACCTCGCAGTGTTCTTCCCGGTTCATTAATACGAGTTTGCCGCCTCCTAACTCTATATCGCGACCATTCTCTCAATCAGGGTCTCATCCGACGGGGCTTTCTTCGGAAAGCTCGGTAATGTCCGGGTCTGGCGGCTCCAGTTCGACGAGTAGACCATCGCCAGCAGCTCAAGGAAGTATTCGCTCCAGAAATGGCACCTCAACTTCTACAACCCCTCCTTCTCCTACCGTTCAAGAAAGTTTTCATAAGGCCATCAGCAAACGCTTACAGCTCCTTGAGTCGAACGTAACATTATCTCTGAAGTATCTGGACGAGCAGTCGCGATTTCTCCAGCATTCGCAGCTGACCGCTGAGAAAAGGCAACTCATGAAGGTTGACCTATTTTTAGACCGTCTAAACCGCACTGTCCTATCGGAACTTCGCAGTGTGAGAATGCAATATGAGCAGATGTGGCAGTCCACAGTCATAGCACTTGAGAGACAGAGAGAACTGTCGGAGAGGGAAGCTGTCGCACTTAGTACACGCCTAAATGTTCTGGCAGATGAGGTCGTCTTTCAGAAGCGGATGGCCATCCTACAGGCCATTCTTCTACTGTCTTGCCTTGCACTTGTTATATTTTCGAGGGCCATTGTTGCCCCTCCTGTACCGTTTTCGTCGACCAATCCGGCTTCGCCGAGAGATCCCACGGGCACCTTCGAAGAAGCCACCACACGCTGCTTTTCACGGAAACCCAGTAGAGGACAAGATCCCTCGAGGACCGAGCTTATAGAGCAGTTCGAATACCGTCTGGGAAAGAGGGGTCAGAAGTCCCAAAGCGAACCTTGCACACCGCCCGGACACCATTCGGCTTTTACTCAATGTCAAGCCCATCAGGATATAGTTAATAGTGCGTTCTATATATATCCAGATTCAGTATATAAGAATTCCTCCGATATATTCTATGCATTATTAGAAGGATAAACGGTATATAAGTTATAGCTATTATAGTTCTTTTAATACCCTAAATATTTTCTAGATATATATATTAAAGCGATTTAAATATAGTTAATTTCTATTAAAATAATTAAAGTATATAATATATATTTATTATACTATTATATTAGGGAGTATAGTATATTATTATTATTATTATCAATCTTACCCCGCTATCCTATTTAATCTATGAAAGCCTAACTAGGCTATATAGTCTTTCTCAGATAGCTATAAAGGTGAAAACCCGGGGGAAAAACTTTATACTCTTCTTTAAGTAAACTAGTACTATTATAGGGCCGATATAGGCCTGGTTCGCTGTATTTATATATTTAGGTTATACTTTTAGGCTAATAGCTAATATAAATAGTTATAAGCTAGGGTTTAAGTTAGTCTAGGTAGATCGCTAGCGCTAAGGGGGGGTAAGAGGCTATTAGGATATTATAGAGTTATTAAAAGACAGCCGTCTTAATATCCTACGCTTAGCCTCTTTATATCCCTGAGGCGATCCTACTATTCCGTTTATATAATAAAGATATTTAACAGGACGGGCCTTCCCTACCTCTTTTAAGAGGTGACTTTTATATCTTACGGGTAGAGTAGTATAAGGCAGGGCAGGGCCCCGCTTATAACCGTATATAGTAAATAGTTTATATCTTTTAAAGCCCTTTTTAATGTACTATATCTAGGTATATCTTTAGCTAGCTAGTATTATAGGCCCTAGAGTTTCTAGGATTTAGAATAGCCCCTTTAGTATATAATAAAGAGTGTATATATTTAGACTATAGCAACCTCTTAATCGGACTATAGTTTAATTAGTAATAGCCCGTAATAGCCCCCGCTAGCTATTAACTCTATTTCTTTTGGGAGCGTATAAATAGCAGGCACCTTTAGATATCCAGCAGGCAAAATATGCATATACAGAGGTAAGTTCCTTTATATACAAACTGCCCACCAATACCGGGGTCTCGCCTACGCAGGTATAAGCAGTGATATTTTATACGTAGCTCTTAATTCGTAATAATAGTTAATTAACTACCTAGCTAATAACAGCCTTAAAGGCTTAGACTACTATTTCGTTAAGTTCTATCATCTCACGAATAGCCTCCTTAAGTGCCTTTTCTATCTCCTCACGTATACATAAGTCTTTATCTAATTAACCCTTAAACTAGGCCGAAATCTCGCCCTCGCGATATATAGTCTAATTACTCTAAGTCTCTTCTAGAGCTTCCTAAGATTCCTCTTCGTTAAAAACGTCGTTAAAAACACGGGCGCTAGCCCTTAGGGCTTATATACTGCCACCCTTAAACGTCGTCGTTAATAGAGCTGCAGGCGCCGTTAAAGGTGGTAGGAGTGCCTCGTAGCGCTCTTCGGCTACCGCTATCTTAAAGCCAGATAGGGCCCTCTTCGTGCTAGTCTTACTATAGCCCTTTTTATAACTTAAACCGGATGTCGTAACTGCACCTTTTAGGCGTCCTTTTACACGTATAATCACCGGATCTAAGGGACTAATTACCTTAGATCCAGGCGTCGCCGTAATCGTCTCCCCATAATTCCACTACTAATGACGATTAATTAAATTAAGGGTTAACGGCTCCTTACTACGTAGATAGCTAAGCAGTATATAGCGATAAGGCAGGCCTAAATAGCGTAAGATAGCATAGGGTTCGTATAGCTCTTTTAGTTAAACTAGTAGCTTACCCTTAGCTTCCTTAGGTATAGTTACTATCTCGAGCTGGATCTTCTGCAGAGCTTAGGGCACGATCTTTTACCTGACAAGGCTAAAGAGAACTCCTCTTATAGAAAACTGCACCTTATTTATTCTTAGAGACCTCTTAATCAGAAGCTCTCGCCTCTAGGTATCCTAGTAAAGGCATAACTTACGGAAGACTATCGCTAGGTCGCTAGAGGAGCTATAAAGGAACGACTTAAGGCTAGTATATAACGCCTTAGTAATAGAAGTCGTGGAGTTACTAAAGTAAGGATTACGATTCACCTAGCAACGAATAATCTTTTCCTTAAATAGTTTAATCCAGGTTTTTATATAGTAGTTAACTATAGGGGCTAGGTGCTTACTATCGCGTTAAAAGTCCTAGAGTTGCTTTATAAATATATCCTCCGAACTGCTTATAACTAAAGAGTTCTAATCCTTAAGAAAAGTAGTGAAGGTCGGGTAGCGCTCGATCCTATCACTAACCTTTATTAGCTTAGGAAAATACTGCTTATACTCAGTAAGCACGTTTATATTAACGTGCTAAAGGCACAGGATATAGGGAATAAGCTCTAGCTTTTAGTGGCTATCTAGGGCGTTTATTAGAGCTAGTTCCTGGTCGGAAATAAAGTAACGCGGGAAAGTGAATCCTTCTTTAAGGTATTTAACTAAGTAGTTAAACGCCCACGAGTATTAAGCCTCTTTCTCGCTATTAAGAAAGACGCAGGTAACCTAGAACGCCTTACTTAAAGGCGAGATACCGTAAATACTAAGCAGAGGCATATTAAACCGATTAGTCTTATAGGTATAGTCGAATAGTATCATGTCGGGAGACTCTCAGAGCAGCTCTCTAATAGACCGAGGCGTAATAAACGGATACTTTACTCGGCCTAGGTTATCCTTAAGATCGCGGTAGAAGTACTTAGTATCGTTATCTAATTACTATAAAATAGTAGTGGTTAGTAGGTAATTAGATATAAAAGGAGTATATACTTACCTTATAGAGCCACTGGATAGGAGTACGGCCAGCGAGTTCTTCACGCCGGTATCGAGCGAGTAGGTTAAGGATATCTCGACGGGAGATCTCCTAAAGTGGCTCCGCTTCTCCTACTTCAGGATTATAGAGCTTTATTATAATCTGATAAGGCCGAATACCGCTATTATATATAGTAACGATCTTATCCTTACGTGTTATGATCTAGGACGTTCGAAACGATAGAAAGGAGGAAGCCGTAAGGAAGCCGTGGTTATAAGTAGAGGATTAACTACTATTAATAGGCTGGATAACCCACCGCCTATCTTTTCCCTTAATCGATATACGGAAGGGGTAGTTAGTTATCTAGGAGCTCGTTTTACAGCGCTTACTTTTATAGGTATTAAAGACGTCGACGGGCTACGAGGCTCTGCCCTTCCCGTAACGATACGTTACACGCACGGCTTTACCCCTGCGAGGATACTATTCGGTGATAATAAGGCTATATCTATAGGAGAAGGCGTAAGAACGGATTACTGTATCTACCTCTTACCTAGATATAAAAACTAGGTCCGAGGGGGGAGGGGGGCCGTAAAGGCGTTCGTCAGGATCCGTATCTATCGTTAAAACGGCGGCGTTAATAGAGGCGTTAATAGAAGGGAGGTTAATAGGTAGTAAGGTAAGTAAGGTAAGTAGGTAAGGTAGAAGGAGGTATAACGTAATTAGGCTATTATTACGAATTAAGAGCTACGTATAAAATATCACTGCTTATACCTACGTAGGCGAGACCCCGGTATTAATGGGCAGTTTATATATAAAGGAACTTACCTCTGCATATATATATTTTGCCTGCTAGATATCCAAAGGTGCCTGCTATTTATACGCTCTCTTTCTTTTTTGCCTTTGTCCTTTTCCGACCGTATAATAACTATAGTAATAGCTCTATAGCTAATTCGGCGTTCTCCACGCTTTTTACATTCGATTAATTATATAATAATCGTTAATTATCCTTATACCTATAGATATAGAGGTCTAACCTGGTTGCTGCCGTAGCGTCTTAATATCGTATTGAATATATAAGCACTTAAATAAGGCCTATGTATAAGATATATAGGAATTCCCTTTCGGCGTAGTAGTATATTTTTAATATACGATTCTTATAAGTGTTAGATAAAGCATAGTCAAAACCGTCATAAATAGGTCAAAATTAATCAAGATAATTATATACGATTATAACTATATCAGACTGTTAGGAAAACGTTACCGCCGTATTTTATATAGCGCAGATTCTATAAGCGTCTACCCGGATTATACTCTTCGCAATCCGGCCTATTACGTAACCGAAAAGACCATAGTCTATTCAACATACCCCCTAATCGCCCTAAAACGTTAGTTAGGCGACTAAAGCTATTCATAACTGGTAGATATAATAGGCATATAACCTATAATCTCTTTGCTATAGCCGCCCTTAAATTTATTCTCTAGGGCCTCTAAATATTGTATCCGGACTTCCTCCAGGTATTTTTACTATAACCGTTCCCGTATATCTATTATACCCACCTAAAACCTAAATATCTTAAATTTCTCGCCGTATACCGCCTTCGTTAGGCCGTCTACTGCTATTTCCGCGCTCGTAATATACGTTACGAGTATTTACCCTTATTCCTTTACCTAATATAACCAGTAGCTATGGATATCCACGTAACGGAGGCGCGTTATTATTATACTAATCTCTTAATTAACTAATCGAATCGTTTAGTTATTATCGTATAGGATCCTTAATTCCGGATCGTTAAATTCCACTCCTATACTAAGTAATAGTTATTATATAAAGATACCCTTTTTTATACCTTATACTAACGCTAATAGCTCTACTTTTATTATTAATATTATAACCGTATTCTGCTTATTAGCGCGCCACGCGATTATACCGCTAAATAAGTATTATATATATGCTTAACTACTTTTACG